GAATTTGTCATTCCCCCCACAGCTGGCCAAAGATACTTCCTTTTGAAATAACTCTTTATACCCTGATACAAACAAGTTACATACTGCCCTTCTGACATAGTTAGTTACTGCCCCCTGACATGGCTAGTTATCACCCATCACCTTGTACATGTTGGTTTGATCAAAACATCTCTATTACGTACTGTCATCCTGACCTTATCTTTTAGGAGGGGTCAGTGTGTTTCTGTTATTTTGGGGAAATGTTTTTGTACCGTCCTTGATATGGGGATGTTCTGGTACCACTCTTCTGAAATGTGTTTGCTTGAGTGCTCTGTGTCTAGCCCTTTTTAGGAATGTGTGTTTCTGCAATATCAGACCTGCTCTTGAGCCAGGTTCTGTGAACTTGCAAGCAGGCAGAGCCTAATGTTTGCTCACAGCCTGACTCTTGCTAACTTTGCTTTATATTAGCAAGGCTTGCCCACTACTTTAGCTCAGGCCTCATACCAGGCCTCTACTACAAGGGCTTATATTTCAGGCTCTCTTCCTACTACAACATACACATAAAAAAGAAACGAAAGGCAGCACAGGGCCTTCTCCCCGCCCCTTTTCAATGCTACCTTTGGAAGTGTGTCTTTGGGAGAGGCGATGCAATAGGTGGGGGAAAGCAAGTATGGGTCTTGTTTGGGGAGATAGTGGAAAACTGAATTAAAGGTCTCGCAATTTTTTGGTGAAAATTTTCCCAATAAAATGAACAGTTTTTGTTTCAAGAAAAAAGGCAAAAAGTAAAAAAAGTAAGAGAGAGTTTTACTTTCATTTTTAACTTTTAAAAAATCCTCTTTTTTTGGATACTTTTCTGGTGTGAATTTTTTTTTCTGACTTTCTCTTACTTTTATTTGGGGAGGTGAATAAAAACTAACAGAAAGTGAAGCTTTTTTCCAAAGCTTTCATTTTGAATTTTTTTATTGAAACGAATAAACAAAAATGATTATTATTAATATTTTTGCAAAAAAGTTCAACCAGCCTTACAAAGTGCTTTTCTGGAGAATTGGAACTATTAACACACATAGAAAAAGGGGATTTGAAAGGTTTTGGAGGAAGAATGAATGGAAAAGAGAAGGGAACAGAAAATGGGAGTGAGAAATACAAGCGAGAAAAACAGACAGGAGATATATGGAACTGAGGAGTTAAAAAAATGTAAAAGATGTTATGATAATGGTTGATGATCGATAGTCACCTTCGGTGTTTCTTAATTATTTTCTTTCTTTCTCCCTCCACCCCTTTCTACACTGTTCTCTGCCTCTCCTCCACGACATTCTGCCTATCTTTCTACTCATACTTCTGCCCTCCTGCTGGAGAAGGGGTGAGGACTCCTATCAGGATGCAGTCCTGGATGCTGTTTGGGGCCTCTATCAAGTATATGAGCTTTGTGTCAATTGGTGTCTGATAAATTTGAAGCTCTCTAGACCCCTCTAACTGCTGGAAAGGAGAAGTAGCATTTTCTCTCTATACTTCCCCTCTTATCCCAGAGTCTCTTGGCCTCTGTGACCTGGTTGGATTAAAGAATTTTGGGGCCCTGTCTACTATGAAAATTAGGGGGGCCCCCACCTTCCTTAAAGTAGACAGAGGTGAGAAGAAGCCCAGCAGCCTAGGGCCCCAAACCTGCCTCAGTTCTAAGTGCTCATCTTAGAGTACTCTTAGTACTCAGCTTTCAGTTCTAAGTATTCTGAAGCCACAAAGGTGTATATATAGGTTAATTGGAGGAAATGCAGGAAAATCCAGCAAAACCAATTAGAGTCGTGGGGGGATTGATGTGTGATATATACACTGGTATCTAGTAGCCTACTTCAAAACCATATTCAGATGCACTCCTAATCTTATTTCTTCACCACTTCTCCAATACTCGTGGCTGCCCACACTGAGATAATATAGCTGTCATTTCCTGTCATCTGGCATTTTCATGGACATTCCTGAGAAGAAACAGATTTACAACCTTGTGTGTATCAGAGTTTTACACAGAGATTGTAAGTTTAAGATATACTTTGACTAAATATTCTTTTCACTTTAAAAAAAATCCAGCGGTTTATTTAAATAAACTGGAATTACACAAGAAGCATCAGAATTACTTGGTGTGCCTCCAGAGGAAAGATGTTCCAAATGGACATAATAGACATTTCTGGGTTTTTCTATATACTATAATTTTATTATTTGCATGAAATTGGAACAAAAGGGGGAAGCTCCATGTTAAACTGTAAGAGAAAAGGGTTAAGTTTTAATGGTCCCAAGGAATCATGGCTCAGTGTGTTATACATAAGCCACTTGGATGCAAGTGAGGTGTTGACAGGATCTTTCACTACCTCAAGTTTAATATAGTGTTTGGCAATTAAATTGGCCATCTGCACACAGAAGGGTGACACTTAACTCTCAAGAAGAATGAACATTTATTTAATTCAGTTATGTATAACATTCCTTTTGCATATGATCTCAGCAGAGGAAAAGGGAGAAACAGCATGTGTACACTAGGAAAAAAGGGTGGTTTTGTCATGTGCTACCTAATACATATTAAAATCCTAGCATAGAAAAGGCAGATGTGGAGGGTGACAGTTTATCTGAACCAGATAATGTGTTAAAACCAACATTTTCCTTGCCTACACTAGGATTTTAACATGTGTTAGCTAGCACTTTTTTTCATAATGATGACAAGAGCAGAGAGAGAGAAAGACAGGGCAGAGGGTTAACTCACTCCAGGATCATAAGAAGTGAAGTATAAATAAGGGGAGTGAAAATAAGAGGGTGCAACTAGTTCTATCTCCTCATTCCCCTAGACCACAGCTTCTCAAGCATACACTTAGCACAAAAGCAGGTTTGGACACTAGATTTGCAAATGCGCAAACTGATGCTAGAGGCTTAAATGTAGGAACAGGCTGAGCCTAGATTTGGCCTGTGTACTAGCTAAACCAATAACCAAACATATGTAAGGGGACTGTTGCCTCCTTACTAACATTCAGTGGGGGTGTTTTAGTTGCTAGCTCCCAGTGCTAAAAAGGGGGAAGGGTCGATGGGGAATCAGCCCCCTGAGACTGACAGCCCCCAGGAACAATGGGGAGAGGCCAATGCTCCACGTCAGCCTGAATGACAGGGCGGGCAGGCTAATCAGGGAGTCAGGAGGCCAGGGAGGTCCCGTCCCCCGTGTGAGCTGGATTTGCCTGGGTCAGACAGAGTGGGGCCCAGCTAAGGAGAAAGCAGGGGCTCGACCTAAGTTGGGGAGCAGAGCTGGGCCAGATCCAGAGAGAGCAGACCCTGTCCTGGGAGCAGAGCTGCAGCCTCAAAGCCAGAGGCACAGCTCAGAGAGAGCAGACTTGCCCTGGGAGGAGAGCTGCAGCAGCAACCAGAGCCAGAGGGGCCAGAAAAGCAGCCCAGGAAGCAGGTCGGTGCTGGGAGCAGAGTCACAGAAGCAGCCTGCAGAGCAGAGCTGTCCTGGGAGCAGAGCTGTAGCAACCAGAGCCAGAGGGGCCAAAGAAGCAGCCCAGGGAGCTGGAGGCAGAGCAGCAGCAGCAGCAGCAGTGCTGAGACAGAGTGGTGCAGCTGGGGCTGGAGCAGTCCGGAGCTGGGTGTGGTGAGCAGCTGGGGAGAGCGAGGGGGATCCTGGCTAGCAGGCCCAGCACAGGGAGACGCCTCAGCCAAGAGGCTCTGCAGGCCAGGCTTGGATCGTAACCCCGACAGGGCGGGGGCGACATTTAGAGCCTGAGAGTGTGTGGCCACCACCAGAGCAAGTGTCCACCCACAGCATCCCTGCAGCAAAGCCAGGGCCTGAGAAGGCGGCCTGGGACTTACAAGGAACAGACTGTGAACTGCCCTGGCATTCCAGAGATGCTGTTTGTGATGTTCCCTGCCACAGAGTGGGGTGGATGTGTTTCCTTTAACCTTTCCCATTTTTCCTTATTCTTTTTAAAATTAATTGTTGATTAAATAACTTGCATTTGCTTTAACTTGTATGTAATGGTCAGTGGGTCAGAGAAGTGCCCAGTGCAGAGAGAGTACCCCAGAGTGGGGACACCCTAGCCCCTGTCCTAGGTGACCACAGCAGGGTTGGGGGTCGAGCCCCCCAGGAATCCTGGGCCCAGCCTTGTTGGAGTTACGAGGACTCTGCCAGACAGGAGAGTGGAAGGGGAGTCCTCAAGGGCAGGGAGGCCACTGGGTAAAGGAAGTGGGAGCGAGGACTCAGATCCTTTCGCTAGCCCACTTCACCGGGGTAGTGCAGAAGCCAGGAAAGTTCCCCACAATAGCGGGACTATTCCCCTGCTTACATAATGATAAAATTCCTTCAAAAGTATATATATTTTACAAATCAAAAGATGCAAAGGAGGATGTAATTAGAACTCTAAGGCATTTTTTATTGCAAAAAGGTGTAGTTTGTAGTTCAAGAGAGCTATATTGATGTAAAATTCTAGGTAGTCTTTACCTCATGTAGCTAGTTAAGAGGTAAACCCCGGGTGATTTTACCTTGAAGTACAAATACACCTTTCTTGCAGTGAAGAAATAGCCTAAAATCTTGAAAGGTAGAACACTAGACGTTGGGTAGAGCCCCGTGCAGGACTATTCTTTAATCCCACTATTATGGCAGTGGGTTCTGCAGGAGCTGTGGGATCCACATTGAAAAGATTAGTTAAGGTTGATGACTTGTCTACATAAAGTTTTTTTTTTTTTTTTTTTCCAAGAGTGTTGTTACAACAGAGTACAAATCCGCAGCAGAGATATGCTGCACCTGTGCAAAGTAGAATAACTTGAACCGGTCTGAGCCTCACTTTACCACAGTGCATCACATCTACTCTGTATCAGCATAGTTATACAAATACAAAATCCCTAACAGAAGCAGGCTTTAAGTGCAGTAAATGCCATCTGGCAATAAAGACCAATGAGATTTAAACAATGGATGCATTTTTTCCCATTAATGATGGAAGTAGGTCCCTTAGCATTAAACATTAGAAACCACCTTCTTATACTAATAGTTAAGCAGCTCTTACCTCAGAGAATCTTTGTACATCCTGGGTTAGAGTTCCCACCCTCTTCCATTGATAATATTTGAGTAACTTCAAAATCGCAGGATTCACTGCATTATCAGATGGTACTGTCCGGAAGAAATAAGGATATTTTTTCTTATCAGCCAGCTCTGGGGTTGTTGCTGCAAATGAAAGCTGAAAAACAAAGAAATGGAAATCTCAATGAGTGAAATCAAATTGCTGGCCCCATAAGAAGCTTACCCTACTCAATGCAAGGTAAAGTACATGAGGTGATGAATTATGGACATTTGGAGAGTTTTTGACTATCTTACGTTAAAGAAATAACAAACCTATTTGAAATCTTGCTACAGTCTTTTACTTTTCAGAAATAAACCTTTTCAACCTTATCTACCTTTTAAACAACAACACCATATATCCTATTAAACTTCACAACATTATAGCCCATCTGCTACAAATTTAAGTACATGATTCATTAAAGTTTTGAGAGGGTAGCACTACAAAATTCCCTGGGTCAGATTAACCCCACCCATATTAAAAACCAGGGGCAAGAAGCTTTTGGGGAGAAAATCTCTGAAGAATCCCCTGTGGAAATCCCTCCAACTTCCCTCCACAAGAAAGGGTCCAGAGTCCACTGCCAATCCTGGACACCTGTGGCTTCAGTGGAAGATGTGGGTGTGCAGAACATTTAAAAATAAAGCCATTTACTTGTCTCTATGTGAATTCAGGTGTCTAAAGCCATGGAGGAAATCAAAAGGCAGCCAAGATAAGCACTCAGAAGTCCCTGGCTCTGATTCTCCAAGTGTGTTAGTTAGACAATGGTTCTCTCTGGACTGTTGTATTAGGACAGGGACAGATTGTCCCTGACTCTTGCACAACTTTTAAAATTAGGCCTCTTGGGTGCCTAAATGTGGAGTTAGATGACTAACACCCAGTACACATGTCTGGAAACGATGACTACCTCTCTGACTAAGTTTCTCCTCTGTAAATTGGAGCTGATACAGACTCACATTTCAGTGGGGTTTTTGAGCAGTAATGAGTAAATGTTTTTTAAAGTGCTCTGAAAACTAAGGCACTGGCTCAGAGCAATTCTAACTGACAGTGCTGAAAATGGCAGTTTTGGAGTCTACATTTCCAACGTTGTCAACACCAATCATAATACTGTAGGACTGGAAGGGACCTCGAGAGTCTTCTAGTCCAGTCCCCTGATCTCATGGCAGGACTAAATAATATCTAAACCATCCCTGACAGGTGTTTGTCTAACCTCTTCTTAAAAATCTGCAATGATGGAGACTCCACAACCTTCCTAGGCAATTTATTCCAGTGCTTAACCACCCTGACAGGAAATTTTTCCTAATGTTCAGCCTAAACCACCCTTGCTGCAATTTAAGCCTATTGCTTCTTGTTCTATCCCTCAGAGATTAAGGAGAACAATTTTTCTCCCTCCTCCTTGTAACAACCCTTTATGTACTTGAAAACCGTTGTCATGTCCCCTCTCAGTCTTCTCTTCTCCAGACTAAACAAGCCCAATTTTTTCAATCTTCCCTCAGAGACCATGTTTTCTAGACCTTTAATCATTTTTGTTGCTGTTCTCTGGACTCTCTCCAATTTGTCCACATCCTTCCTGAAATGTGTTACCCAGAACTGGACACAACACTCCAGTTGAGGCCTAATTGGAGTGGAGTATAGTGGAAGAATTACTTCTCATGTCTTGCTTACAGCACTTCTGCTAATACATCCCAGAATGATGTTTGCTTTTTTTGGAACAGTGTTACACTGTTGACACATATTTAGCTTGAGGTCCGCTATGGCCCCCAGATCCCTTTCCGCAGTACTCCTTCCTAGGCAGTCATTTCCCATTTTGTACGTGTGCAACTGATTGTTCCTTCCTAAGTGGAGTACTTTGCATTTGTCTTTATTGAATTTCATCCTATTTTCTTCAGATAATTTCTGCAGCTTGGCCAGATCATTTTGAATTTTAATTTTATCCTCCAAAGCACTTGCAACCCCTCCCAGGTTGGTATCATCTGCAAACTTTAGAAGTGTACTCTAAATGCAGTTAAACTTCTGTTCAAAACAGTGGGAAATTTAAAAAAAAATGTCCACATATCAGCATGTCAGAAGTGAGAGGAGACAAGTTCAAAGAAGCCTTCCAATTACTTCAGACCTGTACAGGCCAGCTCCTTACCATCTGAGCGCTGAAGCAGCCCATTGATCCACCAACTCTCATCAGGGATGACAGGGGTAAAAAAAAGAGGAGGAGGAGAAAAAGGAAAGAAATGAAAGGTGACCTTCCTGACTGTATTTTACTTCAAGAGTGACACATTATATACCCATCTTAAGAACTGAAGAGGCATCCTAGATTAAGAAGGCCTCTCAGCTTCCTCTTGCACCTATAAAAGGTTCGGGTTATTCCTCATACAGAGACTTCCTTTACCCTCTGCAGGGTTGTCTAAATGCCCCTTGCCTCCCAACCATTCATATTTGTGTGCTACATTTGTGGACATCCAATTGGGTGCCTTATGCATCAATACCTATGATGCCCTCATTTCTTTTTCTCAGTCCTCCTCTACCTTTCCCTGTACCTCCCCAATCCTCCTCCTGCATCACCATTTCCCTGGATTCTAATTACTCTCCTCCTTCCCTGGGACTCCTTAGTGCCCCTAACGTCCTTTCTGTCTCTCCCACAAGTTACATTCTATCTGCTTTTCTTCTGCTCAACTTTCAACCTAATATTCCAACTTTCTCTTTCTTCTTTTCCTTCCTCACTTAAGGGGTTTTTCCTCTGTCCCCTTGATGTCTCTATCTACCCTCAAACCAATCCCGAGCCACTTACTGCACATTGCCACTGTTGTGGGGGCAGCGCACTCAGGTACACATTTAAGGATGCCAGTTTCTACCTCCATGCATCTGGAAACAGCAGAACTGAGAAAGTCAAAAGAACCCTGCTGAATTGTCGGATGTACAAAACTACTGGTGCTGAAAGGCAGCAGTTTCGTGAATATCTTTCAGACAATCCATATGCAGCTGCTTAGGAGGTAGCCTATGTGGTACCTGTGTTTGCCCCAGGCCTTCCCACCTACTTCCTGAAAATGCCCCCATTTCTGACATCCATGGGATACTTGTGGTTATGTTCTGCGACAAGTTTAATACTCCAAATCTTCTGCCAAGAACATGCCTCTCAGGCTGCTGCCACCCATGCATGGCTTTTGAATCTCTTTATTGTAACAATTTGATAAAAATTGGTGCTCTCCATATCATATAACAGAGGGGAACATATGGCTCACAGTGATTTATTTGCAGAAGAATCCATACAAAATTCACTGTTCTTATGCCAGAAGGATTTTTGGTTGATGCTGAAAAAAGCAACGGAAGTTGTCTAATGAGAGCATAATAAAACTGATCTTTCAGGCTCAGCAGAAGAGTGATAGAGCACAGGTGCAGTATATAAATGTATCCAAGCGCACTATAAAGTATATTTGCATTTTTTTGACCATGCATTCTTTAAATTCATTCAAGAAACATTATATTGATATTCAAAAAAGAGATGGGTCTAAACCAAAACATCAGATCTAAATACTCCTGCATGTTGACAAAGGTTGGATGTAGCTTGGAAGAGATAGGAGCCTGATCCTAAACTCAGGAAAATAATGGTGCATTGGTTTGAATTTGGTCATATTTGGGAGATTTTTTTCACAAACAGAAGGGCTACAAACTATTTAAAAAAAAAAAAACCCAAGGTTAATGTTTGCAGAAGTGGTTGGTTTACCCTCCATGGCTCACCAAGGAAAGTTTCCTGCTGCTCACTGGCCAGCAGCTGATTGGATTTTTCAAGCCCTACACTACTATCCATTTAACACTGCACTGCACAATATTCTAATTAAAGCAAAGCTTCACTTACCAGAATTTATGAGCAAAGTACATTTTATGATCACGTAGCCTTGATTTTCTTTCATGGCATTGATTGGCTTACTTGTTAATTCACAAAATTTTATATTCTGCCACGTGTCTGCAAGTAATTAATTCAGAGGAAAGCCTGTGAAAAGAAGTGTCCAGCTTCTCTGGTTTGCCGAGTAAAGCTGAACTCTCTTTAACGTACTGTACAAAAGAGTGCTATAGCTGTAAACGAAGACCTCTACATCAAGTTGAGAGAGAAAAGCTCTTCAAGTAAACAGTCCAGTATGAAAAGACAGCTGACAGCTATGCTGTACAAAGCCTGGTGACTGGAAAAGACTTAATTTGGAAATTAATGCAATATAAAAAACTAACTTTGGATCAAAGAAAATAATATGGTGGTTGTTTCAGAAATAAAAGTTGTTGAGATTTTACAGCAACACAAATGAGGAGAGGAGCTGAGGCAGGTTTCATAGTCCGTGAGATGTGCTTGCCTAGAAGGAGTAGGGTACAAAGAAGCTTGGACCTGTCATGTTTCTTGCATCAGTTAGGATTTTGCCCCCCGGCTGATAGTGGTGCTGTGTTGCAGCCTCAGAGACAGTGTGGTGTGGTGCTGATGGGTCTCCTCTCCCTGCCCATTGAGAACAGGAGCAGAGGAGGCACTCAACCTACTACTGCTGCTGGCTGGTAGGGGTGATGCTGCCTCTGAGGGGCTGCTTGCACACTGCCTGTAGGAAAGTGGGGATGCCGATGAGTCAGATCTGGTTCTGGGCGTGCCTTGTGGTGGCATGCCAAGGAGCTGGCTCTGGGGGTGCCATAGGGGAGGGGGCGGTGGTGGCCCGGGGAAAGGCACTGCCGCTGCCAGGCCTGTTCTACTGTGCAGCCTGTGTCCCACAGGAGCCTGATCTCTGCCACCGGAGTTGATACTATTCAGTAAAATTTTGGGAAACATTTGGTATGGATTTTAGACCTCACCCCTCCTGGTTGAGAACCCAAGTGGTTGCTGCTCTCCTGGGCTGTGGGAGACTGTGTTCAAGTCCACGCCCCAACCTCAGCAGAGCAGGGAGGTGAGAACAGGTTTCCCACCTCCCAGGTGACTGCCTAACCATTTGGCTATTGGCTATCATGGGGAGTGCGGATCCCTCTCTGATTTATCACAAGAAAGGACTGGCCTGGCTTAAGGGCCTAACACCAGGAGAGGGCTTATGACTAAGAATCCTGTGTGAAGATCGGTGCCTTTTTCTGGTCTGTCAGTCAAGTGCCTATGGCCCAATCAGGCTAGA